ACTTTGCTTACGATTTTATCTCTGGCACCAGAACTGTGCCTGGCAAACAAGAGGCATTCAAAGATATTTGCCAAATGAATGAAAAACAACATGGAATCAGAGATGGGCTGGAAAGCAGAGGAAGAAGGGGAAAACCAAAGACCAAGAGTGCTCACAGCACTCTCTCTAAAGGCCCACAAACCCACAGCGAAGACCTTCTGCACCTGTGTGCCCACATCCATGTGAAAGTGGAAACACGCACCATCGAGGCAGGACACCACTTGGAATGCATGCAGAGGCCTGGGGACAAGGAGGTAAGAGCTGCTGCAATATTCTGTGGTTTCCTACTGGGTCCCAGCTATGTATATATATTTTAATCAAACGCTCTTGAAACAGGGTCTTCCCAGTGTAATGTGTCCTCCTTTGTTCCTGTTTTCTGGATAGTGAAGGAAATATCACAAAGGGCATAGAGTAGGCACACGTTTGGAGTCAGAGCCAGCATCGGAATCCCAGCAACTAGAGATGCCTCACCCTCTTGGGGAAAACACAGAACTTTGGGCAAATGAACAGCAGAGCCTTTGGGAAGGGCTCGTGGACTGAGGCGCCCTGTCCAGGCCTGGAGCACGGAGAGGAGGGATGTCCCCCACGGGTGAGCAGTCATGAGGCAGCTCTGCTCTCCTGAGAAGGGAGAGGGAAGAATCCCCACGAGAACGAACACACAAGGGGCCTCCATACTGCAGAAGCTCAAAAGATGCCATTTCACTGTTCTCACTTTGTAGTCATCGAAGAAAATTCCATGCAACTTTGAGAAAAATGCAAAGCCAAGTCAGTCACAGAGATTACATCAATCGGAATTTTCATACCAGCAATTTAGTTGCAAGCAGGGACTGATTTTTTAAAACGATTTATATCATTTCCTATCAGTTGAGACAATCAAGTCAGAAATACATATTCTAAAACCCACACAGGAAAGCTGGACTGTTACCTCATAGTCACATCATGTGCTTGCTGAATACAGGATTCTGTATAATCTTTACTCATTTCCTGAGAATGTGGGGCACGTACCTTGTGGGATCTCAGTAGCTATCTGGCAGGAAGTTATACCTGTTACAGTATCTATTTAGTTGTATTACATTTTTATGTCACTTTCTCATCATTGTCTTCTTCCCATGGATATTTTAAATCTAAAGAAATTATGATGGTCTACTGCTTGTGGCTGCTGTAGCTCCCTGTGGCAATGGTCTCAGAGCAGGAGAGAAGACACCGGCTGGCAAAGGGTCTCCAGGGCCAGGCATGCTCAGTGACAGAGTCTAAGAAGGACTCAGCGGGCCTTGCCAGCGTCGTCAAGCAGAAGGGCTGAACGCTTACATGCAAATGAAGTGAGTAAACATCATTCTTGATGATTATGACATGTTGGCAGGAAAACCAGTTTGGGATTAAAAACTGAGACTTTGATGCTTCTAATCACAAACCCTTTCTATTTCAACCTGCTGAACTACTAACGATAGTTCTACTTCAGAAAAATAAGCTGAATTTGGGGCTGGCCCCGTGGCCGAGTGGTTAAGTTTGCGCACTCCACTGCAGGCGACCCAGTGTTTCGTTGGTTCGAATCCTGGGCACGGACATGGCACTGCTCATCAAACCACGCTGAGGCAGCGTCCCACATGCCACAACTAGAAGGACTCACAACGAAGAATATACAACTATGTACTGGGGGGCTTTGGGGAGAAAAAAGAAAAAAATAAAATCTTTAAAAAAAAAAAAAAGCTGAATTTACACATTCTATATGAGATTTTGCCAATGAGGTAACTGGGCAAAAATTCAGCCAAGGCAATGACACCGTGTTTTGTTTTCTGCCTGGTCAGCACAACTCAGAACGCCTGGTAATGAAGACAAGCGGTGCACCGGAGGTGGATGGGTCTTGAGCCTTTCAGGTGACAATCTCTCACACTTAAGACCTGTGATGAAAACCTGCCACCCTGACCACAGCCCATGCTGCGACCACGTCACCAGCCACGACGCCTTACAAACTGGAGGACTTGCAAGGAGTTTGGTTATTTGCATCCACGGACTCATCCTAGTTCTGCGTTTTCCCACCCATTATTTGGGAAACAACAAAAGAGAGCTCTGCGGAGTGAGCATGGCAGCCAGGGTCATGGTGAGTTTGTGAGAGAAGCGAGAGGATGAGTGATTGTGCACTCCAAAGAGAAGTACTCCGCTCCAAAGCAAGGCCGCTGACTCGTGTGCAGTCCCTGTCTCTGAAGGAGTGGAGTCACAGCCACACACCGGAGGACCAGGTCTGGCTGCAGGTTCCTGGAGGATGAAGCACATCTGAAACACTGCTCCCAGCCCACTGACGATGATGCGGGCTTGGACTAGCAGGCCTATCCAGAGGAGGTTCGAGCCCTGCTGACAACCTGGGAAATGCCTCACAGACCATGTGAGGCATGCTCAGAAAACAGCAGCCACTTAATTTGCCCATTTTTGGTACTGAATTTTTTTTTTAAGAAAGAATTTTTTTTGCTGAGGAAGATTTGCCCTGAGCTAACATCTGTTGCTAATCTTCCTCTATTTTGTGTTTGAGCTGCTGCCACAGCACGACCACTGACAGATGGGTGGTGTAAGTCTGGGCCCTGGAACTGAACCCAGGCCACTGAAGCTGAGCGTGCTGAGCTTAACCACTAGGCCACCGGGACTGGCCCAGGAAAGATTTTTTTAGGAGGATTTAAAGATTTGTTTAGAGAAACAGTTAAAAACCCTTTGTTTACCCCTTCTCCCTCTGCCAATCAAGTCCGGCATAATTATGCTACTTATCTTAATGGCACAGAAAGCACACTTTTAGGAAAAGCAAGTAAGCAAATCATTTGATCATAACAACTTTGGATTTTCTACACGTATGAATCATTTGTTTTATCAATTATCTGTGGCAATGGCACTATTTCACAGAACTGTGGAATTTTAAAAATTTTTAGGTGAAAGGAAATTGAGAGATCACTGAGTCCAAGCCCCTCATTTTTTGGTGGAGGAAACTGAGGCCCTGGAGAGGAGAGACTTCCCAGGATCACGCAGGCAGACACCAGCCAGGCCAGCTCCCAGCTTGACGCCTGGCCCCGCCCAGCTCCTCAAGGCTTGGGCTCCTTGGTATGGACTCCTAGGTTCAAATAAGACACAGATTTTAACAGTAACTTCTGAAGAACATTGATGGTAAAGCTGCTACTGCAACTCCAGGGTGGTCTGTGCTCCAGGTCAGACATAAACATCAGAAGATGATCCTGTTGTTAGGATGACACTGCCATCCTTTACAAAAATGAAGACTGAATTCTGGCTGATGGTGCCATATTTACTCATCAATTTAAATTATGTTATAGAATTTTAATTTCTGGTTCAACAAAATTAAAAATTGCTTCTGATAATTTAAAGATTTTCAATTTCTCAACCTGTTAGGCAGTCTGGTTAATTTTACATTAACAAACATCTAAAAGCATCAGAAGGTGTCTTATTTAAGGATAATCTTTCAGTGACTATTTCTGGGAAGCCAAATCTTTTAGTAATAAAGAGCAGAACTCACAGGCTTTGTGCATTGAAAGCTGTCATCCACTCTTACAATGGAGCACATTTATGTGACATGAAATAAAACCTAATTAGAGACCAAAGATATTGAAAAGCAAATCATGTTACGAGTTGCAAATAGCTAGATGACACAAACACTCCTTTCTCACCTCAATGTGGATAACTGAGAACTGATGATGATCAAATGGCCCCTTGTAGTACTCTCATCCTGGGTAGATAAGCTATTACCAGCCTAACCACATCCCCTAAGTGCTGCATGGCTCTGAAGCAAACAGGGATGCTAGAGTGACCTATGACCAGGGCCACTGAGCAAGAACCTCAGCAAGAGCACCCAGGAGGCCCCATGCTAACGCTGTGGACAGCTGCTCTTCATAGACCTGACAGCCTTCTGATGTGCCATCAAGCAGCTCCAGAGCTCAGAAAAACCAGCGTTTTTAAAGTGCAGAATATGCAGTGTTGCAGAGGGTGGAAAATGAAGATGACATAAAAACCGAGTATCACAGGGCACAGGCGTGGCTAGAAAAATTTTGATTCATCCAACAGTTACTATATTCCACCCCCAAATAAACCTGAGCCTGATAGAAGCAAGTGAAAATGTGAGACCTGCAAAGACAGGACGTCACTGGTCAATGAAAACTGAAGAGAGCCTGCAGGAACTGCATGAAAATCTAGAGTGAGAAATGTTCCTCTAGCTGATAAATCGAGACTGACAATTAGAAATGGCAAACAATAGGATATATTGGAGTATATGAGAAAGCCATTTGGTGTAAACCTAATTCGGCCTTTGTTTTTTCCAAAAGGGCCTGACATGGCCTTGAGCATGCACTGTATATCTGCTTTACACATTTACTATGGCAAGAACAAACGCCCTTAAGATAAAGGTGCAACTTCCCCCACATTGGCATTTCCTTAGGGATAAGCATCTTTCCTTAGGCAGGAACTGATTGCTGAACTCACCTTTGACCACCCAGCTCACCTGTGACCACCCAGCTTCAGACAACAGACCTGCCACCCTGCTGTGTCCACCAAGATAGCAGCCCTACCTACTGTATCATCCATCAATTGCTGTGCCAACAGAGCAGTCTCGCGACTATTGTAAAAGGGACATTTCAATCATATGGGAAACACCCTGTTTGGGGGTATATAACCACTCTGTACACCCTACTTCTTTGGTGCCCTTTCTTCCTTTGAGAAGAAAGGCCCCAGGCCCTGGTCCTCACATTTTAGCTCAGAATAAACTCACCCAAATTTTCATTTATAGATTGGTTATGGATTATTTTTGTTGACAAGACTATCTAAAAGAATCCATTCTAGCATAAACTCATCCTGAAAAGGCTGGGGCCTGTTTTTATTCCCACACTAAAATTAATTGCTCTGGTTCCCAGATCTCCATCAGCTGCTTAATCATGACAGCTCCCTGGGCTGTCCACTTCAATTAACTCAGCCAGTACCTCCGGATGGCCACTGTGAGTGCCTCTGGTGAGCTGGCACAGGGACAGATGACCTCCTGGCGCAAGCCTTTACTTTGGAAGACATTCAGAAATGCATCGCAGGAAGAAATAGACCCTAGAGTGACAAAGGGGACGGTAATCAGACAGTGGAAGCAATGTGATTGATTAAAAATATCCCATAACATAAAATGCTTTCGGATTTAGGACTTAGGCACAATTAGAGTTAGGCAGCATGGAAAAAATATTTCATTTAATACAATTTATATTTATGCTACAACAAAAGATGATATTATTCTCACACTCATAGAACTCAAGAATTTCAAAACTGTAACTTCTATACTCAATCAAAACATTTTTGCTGACTGATGAACTTAAGTTTTCTGAGATTTATTCTACTATTTCCAGTATGCATGTTCCAAGAGATGGGCATATCTAACCCTAACCAAATGAACATGCCTCCACATTAACTTGAATGATGAGATCCAGGGGTAATGACCAGGGACCTCTCAGATGAGTTATTTCCCAGTACAAGCACACCTTGCTTCATGCAAGACACATCACTCTGTAGACTTAGGGTTAAAACCAACTGTGTATTAAAACACCCCACAATTTATAGAGTTATTTTGTAAATGGAAGAATCATTTATAAAACTAATACTGAATTATCTGTTTGCAAGTCCACTTTTGCATATCAGATGTTCTTTGAGAAAGTATATGCTGTTTTAATTTACACATATTTATGTTGCACAGTTTACAAATGTGGTCAGAAACAAACGTTCTTTCACTCATCCACTCTGCTTCTGGCTTATATACTCTTCTCATAAAAAGACAAGTTAGCTGGGTTTTTTTCCAACTAACTGAAATATTTCTCAAGGTATATTAATAGTATTCTGTGGAAGCGCTAATTTACTTTTCCTGGGTAATTTTTGCTATACGATTTGATAATGAAATTCCATTAAAAATGACAAATTAATTTCCTGACCAATAAAACTACTATAGACCATAAAATAAAAGTAGTTACTATTTCTTGAGCACTTATTACATCCAAAGAACTGTATATAGGGATTACTTCATTTAATCCTCATACAATCTTATGATTTATGTACTATTTTGCAGCTAAAGAAAGAGAAAGATTTAAAAAAGTAAGTCAGATTCTCTACATAATCAGGAAGCAGAACATCCAGGACTCAGGCCCAGTGTCTGCAAGTCCATGTTCTTGACCATCACGACCTTAGGCCAGTGAGCAATACATTTGGTTACTATTTTAAGGCAACTTCTTAACTAAGGTAAAGACTAGAAAAAGAAAAACCAGACTGCACATCACGAGACCTTGAGAGCGAGGGCTCTCCTGCCGGCCTGCCGCCTGAGCAGCAGACTTGCCACTCACAGGGGTTTGCGCCATCAGCCACTATCAGCATCCGGAGGGAAGAGAGGTTGATGTCTCTTTGATCCCTGTGTGCCACTAACGCCCAGTGCATGTCCCTGGACTTCACACAAGCCACTTTTGCTGAGGGAGAAGTAGAAGGGAAGTGAGTTAACATGTGCACTGTCAGACCATGTAATATTAAACAAGAAGCCATTGTCATTAGTGACAGAACACCCACTGGAGGGCCACCCTGAGACGCACCTTTGTACTGGCAGACCTTCTGAATCCAGGAGAGCGGGTTCACCTTCATCAGCGAGTATGGGATGCTGATCACGTGCATCATGTTCATGACACTCTGAAAGCAATGATACACAGAGGTGAACCCAGCGCATGAGGCATCGTCCCTGCCACACCAGGCTCCACGTGGGGACAGGACAGGAGTGGGCTCATCCCACGTCAGGGGGCCTCAGGGCAAGTGCATCCTGGAAGAATCTTGGAAGAGACTTCAGCGTGCAAGTGAATTCCCAAGGGTTATCTAGTCATCTTGGCTCCTTTTTTCTGTCCAAATCATTTTTTTGAGGAAGATCAGCCCTGACTAACATCTGCCACCAATCCTCCTCATTTTGATGAGGAAGAGTGGCCCAGAGCTAACATCTCCAAATCCTTTTTTATAAAACCTTTAGTTGAATGATCATTTTTTAATGGCCTTTCATAGTCTGGAAGCTTAATTCTTTCTAGTGTATTATACCAGCTTTATTTATTAAATGTTGCACTGAGATCTCATGGAGTAGTGAGTAGCTTGCCTTAATTACCCTCAGCTCCATGTAGCCTTGCTAATGTAGGCTGGGACCCCTAAAGGGTTCACTCCTTTAAAATAGATGACCAAAATAAACTTAAAATAAATGGCTAGTCCCTACACGCTCCAGGTAGGACTCATACCCGCTTGCCTGTCGTTCGGTGCAGCTGCACCTACAGACCTGGCAATTGAGGGACGACAGAATGGGGAGCATTGGACAAAACCCTTGCTGGTCGGTTCTGCCCACACTGGAATTCTCTGCTGCCTTGGGTGGAGGTGGAGTGAGCAGGTGCAGACACTCTGGAGAGCGCTGCTCTGAGGCAGGAAGCTCGGGGCAGTGACCACCTACACCCTCTCTGGTGGGTATGAGCTTGCGTACTGCCAGTACGTGCTCACTCGCCTCAGTTGTTCCCCACTCCATGCTGGGGGTGAAAGCATCTTTCATCATACAGAAGACACCACAGAAGAGCACATATGGCTGTCCCCCCAGAGACCTTCCTTGCTCTAGAAGGTGGCAGCAAAAGAGAGACTCAGACAGTGCCGATTCCTGGGGCTGGCAGGAATCCAGAGCAAGAGTAAGCAGGTGGGTGGAATATCAACAAGATCTGTGGGAGTTCCACCACAGAGCTCTTGAAAGCAACATTCTCACTAAGAGCAACTACGAAGGCAGCAACAACAGAAGCTTCTGTCACAAGGGTCAAGCAAGTAGATGGCTTAGGAGCCCATTACACATCAGGCCACATGATTCTCACATAGGACCACCATTCCACTGGACAGACAGGAAAACTGAGGTTCAGAGAGGCTCGGGCACAGGTGCAGGCGACGTGCCTGGAGTCAAAGAGCTACAGAAGCAGGGCTGAGACGCAGGCTGTGTCCTCCGACCCTATCTCTTCCCACTAGGCCAGCACATCCGTAAGCATGCACCTTCTGCATGTTATCATCTGCTAGTGAGCACGCATGTTCTGCATTTCATCAATCATGTGCTAGTATCCAGATGATGGAAATGAACTGTACTGATCACAGAAAGAGGCTGTTGGTCTGGAGCCAAAAACCTTGGGTCTGTGTGATGCCTGCACACTCTTGTTCTAATAAGTCCTGGTTTATCAAGAAACAACAAATCCCATTTTCTGTGTTTATGTTCTTACAACTTATGCAAAAATGACTAAAATTTTCTACTTCAGAAAAGATACAAAGTTTCAGCCTAAGAAAGGAAAATGGGTGAGTGAAAATAACCACATATGAAACAGAAAAGGTGAGATTCTAAGCAGTTATGCTATATGTATTTTTTTAAGCATCAAACATATCTTCAAGAATAAGGTTATTTCTCTATTCAAAGTGCCCACAGCTTGGAACTGTTGTCACTTATCAAGTGGCACTAACAATTATGAGATATGCATTCTCTATAACGTGTGCTGAATTTTCAAGGGGAAATCTGCAAAGGGCTTTTCCCTCTGTAGCATGTGGAACAGCAGATCGCCTAAATATTCATAAACACTGACGCATAGAGAGAAAAAGCAACAAGAATGTGGTAGGCAAATCAGATATATGAGAAGGTGACCCAAACACAAGAGTCAATAACATTACTGTGCCATCTTAAATGCCAAAAGTAGGGAGGAAAGAGACCGAGTAAGGCTGCTGTAATTTAACCTCAACACGTGGTTGGATGACTCAAGCAAGAAGCTGCTGAAACCCCCTGGGTTTACCATGCTTCTGGAAGTTACATTAGCTGACAATTTAAGACTTCTAACAACCTGACCCTTCTCTGTAATGTAGGAGGAAGAGGCTTAGCCAAGGGCTATGTGTACAGATTGTGATTCTAATTCTAACATCAATCAATTTAAATGTAAACAGGACACTGCAGGGCGGGAGTTGGGGGGGTCGGGCCACACTTACTGTTAGGATTCCGTGCCAGAGCCCAACGTCTTTCTTGAAATCCAACACATTCACAATTGTTTCAGCTGCACAAATAAAAAGAGTCAAAAGATTTTGACTTATGAAAGACAGGCATGGACCAAAAGGCCAAGAAAACCAAACATTGTGTCAGGGGTGGTAACAGATCTTGGAAAAGTATCATTCACTTTATCTTTGTAGAAATTCTGTAGCCTCCCAACCCCTTTAAAAATGCTGGCCTGCCTGGAAAGTGTTTCTAGATGGATATTCTGACACGTACATTAACAGCAATGGCTCCTCACACCATCACTTAAAACTCCTTATGTCTTCTCTTTTTATATACTTATTTTCCTCCTGTCTGCCTTTTTTCCTGTTTTTAGTTTTGCTTCATTTCCATCACGTGGTCTCCCAGGAAAGGGAAAACGCTGCTGGTGAATTTGGAGGAGAGGGGCGATTTCCAGCAAAATCGCTTTCCTGCACCCCATAAGCCTCCAGGATGGGGCTGGAATAATAAAGGAGGCAAGGATTTGGAGGGACGCGGAGGGAAGAGTGTTCAAGGGCTATGGGGGCAGCTCCTAAATGGGGAGCAAGAACAGAGGCTAAGAATAAATGGTGGAAAACAACTACTACGCTGGCATGTAGAGACCATGCTGGAGAGCCAGCCACCAGCAAGGCCACCAACAGTGCTTTTTAAGTCATACTGGTCAAATGGCCTGGGCAGGTGGTCCAACTGCCCACACATCTGCCCAACACTACCCATCACTGAGCCCTGGGCATTTGTTGATGTCTCACCTTACATTCTCACTTGGTTCTTGTTATGCTTGCCAGAGGTTCAGTATCCTGTGCCTCATCCCTTTCAGGGTAGGCAGGCAGAGGGACTTTCAAAATAAACAAGCTCAAAGGAAACAGCCTATATTCCATTTTATACAGTATTTTTCTTAGGTTGAGACACAAGGAGCAAATATATATGTATTCTCTCCCCAACTCCCTCAAAATTGACAGCCTGGAACCTTCAAGAAATTAGGGCAAGGAATATGGTCATGAGGTTGTAAGAAAGGCTGGAATTAAAGCTGAAAATGCTAACCAATAGGGTGGTGATGATTGGAGGCATGTGTCTTGGTGTGTGAAAATGTTTGGGAAGCTGGTCTAGGGACCGAACATCAGAGACAAGTGAACTGTTTTGTTTGTTGCTTTTCTTCCTTTTGCGAGGAAGACTGCCTGGAGCTAACATTCATGCCAACCTCCCTCTATTTTTTTATATGTGGGGTGCCACCACGCATGGCTGATGAGTAGAATAGGTCCACGCCCAGGATCTGAACCCCTGAACCTGGGTGGCAGAAGAGGAGTGCTCTGAACTTTTAACCACTCGGCCATGGGGCTGGCCCTGTGAACTGTTCCTACCAGAAGGATGGGGAGGGAGGGAGAACAAGAACAGTAAAAAAGGAAACCATTCATCCTCAAGTGTGCGACAGACACCACCACCAGCTTCCATGGATGCCAGGAAGTGATTCTTTGGGAACCAGCCCTTGGGGGCCTGTGATGTCTCCAATGCAGGGACTTGGTCACAGAAGCTCCGGCCAGAAGGTTAAGTGGTCATCTAGGCTGACTCTTCCTCTTATAAGCCCAGTCCATGCTGTTACCATGGTTCCCTCCAGCCACGTGACCTCTCTGCCTCCATGACTCTCACCCAGGGGAGAGAAAACACGTGAAAACCACTGTTCTCCATTGCAGCAGCCCAGCCTGGGGAGCTTGTAGAATCCACCCCAGAGACTCGGATCCAATCGGTAGGGGTGGGCTGAAGAGTGGGTAATTTTTAAAGCTCTCAGAGAGATTCTAATGAGCAGCCAGGGATGAACACCTGTGATATTAATTATCTGCTATAGCCTGAGCCCTAAGCCCCAGTGTGACTGTACTTGGAGATGGGAATTCTAAGAAGGTAACTAAGGTTAAAGGAGGTCATAAGGGTGGGGACCTGATCCAATAGGATGGGTGTCCTTATAAGAAGAGGAAGAGACACGAGAGCTCTCTCTCCACATACACGGAGGAAAGGTTGGGTCAGGACACAGCAAGAAGGCACTGTCTACAAGCCAGGAAGAGTCCTCACCACCAGGAGCCAACTCTGAGAGCACCTAGATCCCAGACTTCCAGCCTCCAGAGCTGTGAGAAATAAATGTCTATTGCTTAAGCCCCTAGTCTTTAGTATTTGTTATGGCAGCCCAAGCTGACCAAGACACTAAACAATCCAACAAGTGAACCGTGAGTTGAGCTGGGTGCAAACGTAACACTACTCTCATGGCTAAGAGTGGGAACAACACAATCCCTCCACTGTCAACGTGCATCTCCAGGGCCAAGGTCTGGATCAGGGTCCCGCCCATACCTTCTGTGTAGCCACACGCCTGTGTGAGGGCCTGGCAGTGTGTCAGCAGTGCAATTCTTGTCACGGTCACCCCAAGCACACTTCCATCCTTGCACGTCTTATACTGAAATGAGACAACGTGTGGACAAGTGGTACCAAGAGAATAAAGCATAAGACCCACGTCCCTCAGCTCTTCCAGTTAATCAAGAGGCTGCGAATTCCCTCATCCTGGACATGTGTAACTATCAGAAATGCATGAGACTAAGTTCCCAAAGCTTGTGTCCAGACCCAGGGACTTACCTCAATATAGGCGGTGTCATTATTTGCATCTTTAATATGTGGGAACCAATCTCGAGGAGGTTTAGAGAGATGTTTTGACTCTGTGACAAACCATAATAGCTTTGGCCAACCTTCGAAATAAACGACAAATTTCTTTTAGGTAAGCATTACTCAGAAAAGAGGTGTGTAAAATAACTTTCCCTATTCATGTGGCATGCTTTACACCACCACAAGCTAGATGGACTCTGATGTTTCCAGTAAGTCTAAGACAACATCAACAGTGCTGTAAGCTGTACCCAGTTAAATCACACCACATTGCAGGCTGACAACACAAGACGTGTTATCTGCGATGTTCACGTGTGGAGAAGCATGTGTCCTGGAACTGACATGAAGTGGTACACTGTTCCCAAGTGAAGAGCCAGCCTTAGACTTGGCATGCGGGGCTGTGGCCTACCTTTGAACTGTGGGATCTCCCCTGTTGGGCTTTTTGGCAAGCCTTTGTGGCAAGCATCGCTCGTCAAGGCTACTGTCACTCCACAGCTTCCAAGCAAGAACCCGATCTGCTGGCTTCCTGCATCCTGAGAGAGGGCAGCAAAGAGAGAAGAGTCACAAAGCCGGCTGATGGCTGCATTCCTGGCAAAACACGGCCTCACCCCCAAGTTCTGGGATGGAACAAACCTCCCTGAACAAGAGGCAATTTGGGGCATGGACTGGAGTCTGCAGAACCAGGATCACATCCCAGGCTGCCGCTAGCTAGCTGCATGACCTTGAACAGGGTAGCTTGCTTGCTTGGCTTCAGTTCCCACATCTGTACCACTGGCATAAAAAGCAGAGCCATGTCATAGGTCTGTTGTGAGGGATGAACCAGAAGAGCGCATATAAAGTGCTTAGCGCATGGCTGGCACACAGTGGTTCTCACTAAAACGCTGCTGTTAGGTTTCCCTCCACTTCTGTAAGATTGTCACTGTAGGACATAATTATTGTGGAGAACAGGAAGGGTCCAAGAAAACATCTTCATACTTAATAATTAACTAACACCGAGGGCCTGGTTTAAAAAATACTCAAAGCAAAGGGCTCTGATGCATTTGATCACATCGGGCGTGGGCGGATTAGGCATCCATTCTGAACCAAAGAAATGAAGACCTGTCACCTTTCCCTATTGAACATGCCCTGTCTCAGGAAACAAGGATGTGTATTTAGTGTACATGTGTTGATGCCACAGAGGGCTGCCTCTGAATGACTACACTGATTCAGGGACATGGTATGTGAGCAGACATGTGGGTTGGGACAGCACAGGACCACCCAACCCTGTGAGTTCTGTCGTTTACTGTGTCCAGCTGCCTTGCAGGAAAATGGACAAGCAGCAAGTCAGTCCAATTCAATTTCTTTACTCCCACCAGTCACACTGGCTACGATTCAGAGAATAAGATGGAAACTGTGAAGGAGCCAGCATCCCCAAAACGTCATGACCACTGTGAACCTGTCTCTGCTATTTGCTCCCACATGGCTCTACCTGAACCTTCGGACAACCCGGCAGGCCTGTCACTGGACCCGATGCGGTTTCCTGTTGCTCTGCCCATCTGTACCTCGCTAACGGAAAACGTGAGATGATGCCAGTTCTCACCCAGGTAAGATCAGCAGCACTGACATCTCAAGGCTGTAGCTGTCACGTGACTAGTTCACACTTTTCTTATTGCAGATTTAAACCTACATTGGAAACCAAGTCTCTCTCTGTGGAACTGTACACAGCCAATCTCCCATTGCTGGAGAGGGGAGACACTGCGAGGGGACAGGGGGTCTGGCACTTGGCAACAAGACGTTCCCAGTGCTGGGACTCGCATGGTTCTTTTCCTTCAAGCAACAGTCTTTCAAGTAGTTACAACCAGTCACTTTGATGTGACCTTGGATATCACATCACCAAATGTTGAGACCACACAAAGGGGAGTGGAGACAGGTTCTGAAATCAAGTCAGTGGCAGGAAGTGGCAGTTGCTTTGTGAGTGTGAATGTGCCGGAATGTCCACAGTAAGGCTGTGCAGGATGGCTTAGGAGAGGGAGCACCAGTGGCCTGCTGAGGGCTCTCACTCTGACTGTGGCCCTCCTGGCAGAGACTTACTGTCTCTGAACCCTCTCTTTCTAATAACTGCTCCTAAAGACACCTAAAATATGAGGAAGAGATGAGAGACTGTGTGGGAAGGAGAGTAACTGGGAACAAGGCACCACATTTACATGAAATTCAGCCTTCGTGCCTGCTCCTCCCTCAGCCGGAAGCAGCTTCTCCTCCTCCTCATCTGGAAAATTCCTTCTCAGAGCTCCAGTCAAACATCAACTTCCCAGAAACAGCTCTGCCCACCCTGCCACCATCGGGTTGAGATGACAGCCCACCACCCACTCTCAGAGCACTCTGTGCATCTCCTCCACGCACTGAGACCCTTCAAATTAAACACATGCTCGAACCTGGAGCCTGCACGTAGACCCACTCTCAACACACAACATCGAAGCCATGGTCCTCCATGGGCCTGTCTCTCTATGGACCCCGAGGACAAGGACATTTGGACATACCCATGCCACGATCTACATGGAGCTCTCACATACCCTTTGGAATATCTGCCTTTAACTGTCCTGACAGGAAGCAACTCAGGTAAGCAGCCCCCACTCAGGAAGAACATGAGGAAGACAGTCCTCGCGGCATGCACACTCTGGCCCTGACGATGTTTTCTACGTGCCTTCCCCAGAAGGAGCAGTTTCTGGCCTGCAGGTTCTTTCTCAGATAAAGGCAGGCAGCTCGCTTGGGGGGGCCATTCCTCTGAGGAGCTATGCCACCAAGGACTGTAATGATCAACTCCCTGTCACAAAATCTCGCTGATTCTCTTTTGCTGTTCAAGAAAAGCTGGATCACACCTGAGTTCAAACCCTTCTCTGACTCTCAATCCTCCTCCACCACGCAGAGAGTGACTAATCACGTCACTTCCTAGGAAGCCTCTCCTCACCCACAGTCTCTGACTGCATTTAACAGGCCAGTGTGGACTGCCACTCAACCATCATCCATCCCAGGCTCTCTGTCAGAAAGGGTCAATCATAGCCATAAAAATGATTCTCTAACAAACGTGAGGTAAGTTCATGGAAAGTCCCTCTCATGAACTCATTTTGGATTTGTGGCCACACAACTTCTAGCTGGTATTTATCCAGTTTTGTTCCTTGCCTACTCAAATCACTGCCTTAATAGTTTGTTAGCTCTCAGGAGGCAGAGTAAGACAATAATGCAAAGACATAATGAAGATAAGGACTTCAGATGCATTACTCTGCAGAGTCAATACAAAATATGCTGCAGATTGCTAAGTTTAAAGATTATTATGGTCATGTAACCAGGTGGATCAAAGAAATTTGACACAAGAAATTTTCCTTATCAATACTAAGACAAACTTGTCATTAATACATATTTTTTTGCCAATTAATTTTTAACTTTTTATTTGTAATGAAAATTTCCAAGCATACACAAACATACAGAGAAAAGGAGACAGAAATGCCATGTACCGTCATTGAGCTTCAAGAATTATCAATGTTTGAAAAATCTGGTCTCATATCTTACCCCAAACACACACACGCACACAGACTGGATTTAAAATGAATCCCAGACATGGGCACAACCTTCCACCCATACATACTTCAGCAGGGTGGATTTTCACCCTTGGGCAGCCCCATTTCCCTCCCCACAACTCCTGGTCCCAGGGTCTCCTTGCTCCCTCTGATTTCCTCCAGCAAAACATGCTGCTGAGGAAGGGCTGTGACCATTCATATGAGGTTGTAAAAATGTGACAAGACATTGATATTACTCCTTCCAGAGATATTTCACTTGAACACGACATTTGAAAAATCTTGATTAAAGCAAACAAATGGATTGTGTGTTAGAATTCTAAGCAAAGGACAATTCTATCGGTACAGGAGAGAAAGCCTCCCGAGATGATGCTTCTCGCAGGAGGGACTCCTCTAAGCCTTGATGTCGGGCTGTTCCTGGAGCAGGCATGGATGTGAGTGCTGATGGGCCACGTCCTGGCTGGGTCAACTCCCATGGCCTATGGGGCCCATTTGGCTCTGGTCCTGTTACATTCAGAACACGCACAATTTGACCCCTCGTCCTAAGGCCTTGCTATTTCTCCATCAGACTCGTGCCATGGCAGAGCCTCTATCGGTGGAGGGGAAATTCTGGCTCAGCCAACTTTTGCTGGCTCACAGATCTGCTCTGCTGAGAGCTGGCCTCAACAGACCAGCTCAGCCACCTCACGAGGGTGATGGCAACATGCATTTTGCAGATCTTCTGTGGCTGCTCCAGCCCTTTCTGGCACTGTTGTGTGGATGTCCCTTTCGTGCCCCTTTGCACTCCCCGGCCAAACTGCTGCAGGAACACCATTTCTCCTACTACGAACTCCTCAAGGGAAAAATGAGCTTGCTCCTGTCACCTCACGAGTTAAAACAGAGAATAAATAAATGTATGTGAGACTCAAGTGTTTAGTTAGGGTCATTAAGCAACAATCAGGATTTGGAAAATGTGGGTCTCGTGAGGCCCTTTATTTTAGGACAAGTCTGGTGGGCATAAAACTTGTAGACAGAAGAAATATTCACACACTTCATCACCTATGCTTATGCGCACATCTCACCCCATTCCCACTGCACCTGAGCCAATGGATTCTTTTATCTAAAAATAAGCAAAGTTTTCTAAGACATCGAATGTCATGCTCTAAAGTCACAGCGCCTGAGGCCCGATGCACAGCTTCTGGCTTGAGACAGATGTAAGCAAAGTCATCTCCTGGTGCTGTTTCTCCTCAGAAGATGTTCTGATGGAGAGATGGCCAGAAGGGAACCTCAGCCCTTTCTTCTGAGAAGGGCTTTCTGGTCCTGAGGTTCAGGGTGATAACACAAGGGTCTGAGTGGGCCCAGGAAGTGAGGAAGACAGAGCTGACTGGCAGGTCACAGCCTGGGATGCCTAAGATGGTGGGCAGGCAGGTCCCAGAAGGACCGACAAAGTGCAGGTGAGAAACCCCGGCCCCGCTACAGAGACTCACAGCTCTCCTTCTGCTCTGCCCCGGACCTTCAGTGTCCCATGCCTACAGTGACCCTCTCTGAACCAGCCAGGTCACCACTCAGGGTTCCTGTCAGCAAAGGGGCCTGTCAGGATAAAGCACAGTCAACGAAAGAACACATCCCCTTCTGCCAATTACGGCTGCTGTAACCTCACTCTCACGCTCAGAAAGGTTCCAGCACATTCAGAGTGGGCGGCATGCTGTTTACCTTTCTCGTGAGTGGCACTTCGATGGGCACAGGAACGACTTCGGCAAGCAGGCAGCCGTAGAAGGCCACCATGGAGGCAGCAGGGTCATTGTTGGGGAACACCAGCGCCACCTGGACCGACACAGGGGGAGGGATCAGCTGTTAACAGGACACTGTCAGCTTTTAAAATACCACGGGAGGACGCAACCTGCCACAGACAGCAGGTCACATTCTAAGAAAGAACAGACGCTCAGACAAAAATCAGGTGCCCTGTTTAAAAATGCATTTTAGTAAGATGCATTTTAATAAGCATCATGTACTTTTCCTCTATTTTATGTGGAAGGCACACATATCACCCAGTCATCTGTAACGCTGTACAGAATACAACTATCCTTGTTTTTCCCACGTTATCTTCCATATTGACATGTATTTTTACATGGATAAAACTACAGTGTACACACTGTTCTGGTTTTCACTATTCTTATGGCTTCATAGACACTTCCTCGTCTTTCCATGTGGTCTTCACAACTGGGACTGAATGCTATGTGCTTCCTTTCTCCATGAGGGCTGGCAGCTGGGAGCTGGACCACATAGGACTTATTCAGATCCTGGGTGACTGTTAGCTCCAGGATCTCGGGCACAGTCTTGTCCCTCTAGCCTTAGTTTTCTTATCTGAAAAACAAGAATACTCATAGAACCTATTTCTTAGCATGTGGTACAGATGAAATGGGAGAAGGCAGATAAGAGCTCAGTGTGACACCTGGCACAGGGGACGCAGCCGTGAATGTGAGCCACCCGAGATGCACTAACTCTCAGCACTGGGGGTGGGGGAGGGCAGTTGGCAGTGCACCTGCAGGGTCTTGGCTTTCTGTCCTCACAGGTGAGCTTCAAAGAACTTCTATTGACACATGCTCCCCTGTCCACCAGCTCCCAGCACAGGTTCTGAGGAACTAAGAGTAGAATAATCATGGAGTTCTAAAAGTCAGGTTAATTTAAATTACCATCAAGTAACCAAATAATGGATAGTATTATTTTAAAAATATGTTTTCTGATATTCCTTAGGGTACCTTAATGACGAACAATTTTCCACAAGATGGCTTATAGTTATTCTTCCTCATATGAACTGTTTTCATTTGTTGCCTATTTATCTGTTGGTGTTTTGACATCTCCCCTAAAATCTGGATGAATTTTAAATATATTTGATAATATTAACTTACATTTGATGCAAACACTTCTTGATCTAATATTTTATGTTTTATTTTTATTTGCACATTTAATGTTTTATGTAAATTTATCAAACCTTTCCTTTACGTTATCACCTATTATTTAACCAATATTTCATCCAATTTGAATTCACTGGAGCTCACTTCAGTGTCTGCAGTGTAGCTAATTTATCGTGGATCCAGCTGGCTTTCCCGCTAGCCCACGCTCCTCCTGGAGTAACCCTTGCTGTTCCCTTGGTTTGGAGAGCCTCCTTCAGGACATGCAGCTGTAACAGACAGTCCTACTTCTGGATTCTCCGCGGTGCACCGCAGAACTCTGCTTCTCTCTTAGGATGAGCCCCTCTCACGTGTGCTGTGGCATTGGCGCTACGCCTTCTGGTAGACAATTAAATTTGTTGTGTATTCATAGGCACATAAATCCCATGACTGACCATATACATATCATTTGTGCAGTATCTCATTCAGGAATTTAACCAATTTTTTCTTTAAAATGTCCTAACTAGAAGGTATTAAATTTTGTCATTAACAGCTGGATAAGACACTCCCTCTCAATATCTAAATAAGCAGATTGGCATCCAAGTATTCAGATGGCAGCTGAGAATGGAGCAGGTTGTATCTTAAATTTGGCTATGTTGGCAATTTAGCAATACAAGATAGTTGGTGGAAACAAAATTAAATTTGAGATTATATGAAGATTTTCTTTCTATGCAGCATTCCTGCAGTTTACTAAAATCAGCTACATGAGAGAGAAATGACACTGTAAGGCCAGTTAAAGCCATTCTGCACTACTGAGCAATTTTATTTGAGAAACCCTGTGAAATAACTGTTGATTATATTAGTCTTTATTTTGTCCCAGCAGCACTCAGTCAGATGCCAGGCTACCACATTAGTAGGACTTTCAAGGAGGAATAAAAGGATTTATTTGTATGTCTACACATCTGAACCACAACCAATTATTTTAAAAAACTATTTGAGGGGCCAGCCTGGTGGTGCAGCAGTTAAGAGCGCACGTTCTGCTTCAGCAGCCTGGGGTTCGCCGGTTCGGATCCCAGGTGCAGACATGGCATCGCTTGGCAAGCCATGCTGTGGTAGGCGTCCCACATAAAAAGTAGAGGAAGATGGGCATGGATGTTAGCTGAGGGCCAGTCTTCCTCAGAAAAAAGAGGAGGATTGGCAGCAGTTAGCTCAGGGCTAATCTTCCTCAAAAAAAAAAAAAAAAAAAAACTATTTGAGGTTTGCAGCATCCTCAGTGTTTCACCTTTAAGTGGTGGGCTAAAAGTTGACAGCTTCTGATTTTAGATCTGGATCTGGCAAAGCAACAATATTCAATGTAGTATTTGCAAGGGTACCACTGCCACACAACTTCTTTCCCTGAAGTAGACCAAGACATTTGAGTAAGCGATCAAACAGCAGTAAAAATGCAGAAGACATTGAAGTTCCATCCAAAACTCATGGTCACACCCATTCATGAAAGACCAGTTAAATGCTGACTTGTTATTCTTCCTGGAATACATGTTCTGAGGCAGAAATCCTCATCAAGAGAACAGAGAGAAAGAAGGTGGTTTCCCAGAGCCAGACATGGTCAATCCTGTTTCTGAGATTGGGGTCTGGTTCTCATCCCAGCTCTGTTCAAAGGAAGATCAAGTGGACCCAGGATTTAAAATTCACTGAAGTTCATGCTGATAATGCCATCTTATATCACTTTGCAGAGTTGTGTTAAAACAGGATGCAATGTTATATTAATGTAAAGTGAATAAAAGCAGAATATAAAATTGTACATTATAGTATGCTGTCAACGGTATAAAAGTAATGGATAGAAAAATTCAAATATCTAAGCCTCTTTTAGAATCAAAGCTGGAAAAAATTTTCTTTTCCAATTTGTTTTAAGGAAGGAAGTCTATACTTACTTCGTCCTCATTAGGTTTTCCTTTTAGATCAGAACCAGTCACAAGTCCTATTTCCTAGTGACTCCATAGTGATTCCAGTGCAATACTGTACAAGCATGCAGATGCTTCATTTCCATAAACCCAAATGTCTCCTTCATTTCTCTATGTATTCCTTTTGTATTTCACTGTCCCTCATTATCCACAGAGCACAACCAAATAAGAGGCGAGAGCCCATCCTGAGCCTTTGCTCAGATTTAATCTTGTTAAACTGACTCCGTCTTCTTCCTCCATGGCTCTTCCTATACGCAGCCCTACTGGCCAGGCCTGGCTTATTCATCCTCTGCACCCCACAGACTTCCCCCCGAGCCTCTTTCCACATCTTCCTAGAACCTGACCAAGGGCTCACCAGCTTACTTTTTCTCCTTGAGAGGGCTTCTCAGATCCCAGATGCTCCCAAAATGAAAAAGCTCTCTAGCTCCTTCCCAAACAGTCAGCTATATCTCTCGCCACCTACTCTGGGGACCTGTATCACTTTCTAATTTATAGAAAAGCTAATGATCAATGTGTCTTTATTTTTTTAATACTGCAAGCTCCCTGAAGGCAGGCTTCACATGTGATGCACCTGTGTATCTTCCACAGCTCCTACACCATCAGGAAACCCTATTCAGCTTAGGCACATAAATGCCTTTTTCAAAGCCCAAGAAGGTACTCCCCCAAAGGGCATTAATAGGGTCACCCACATGAAAATTGTCTATAATTTTTATGCTAAGGACTGAATGTTCATTATTCTATGGAAAATTACGTTTTATTGAAACACAGTTTTCAAAGAGGTAATGAATCCTGTTTATTGCAACAGGAGGTTACTATCAACTGAATACTACAGTCACGTATGCTTATTTAATAAGTATTTATACACACATGCCAGATGCTAGCCACATGAATAATTTTTTCACGGAATAATATAGAAAAGTAGTCGCCTCACACAATTCAAACCAGCCCCTGCCAAAACCATCTCTTTACATATTTTATTCTATGAAAGCTGTGCCCCCCACATTCCTACTGATATCTCAGCTGAAGACAGGTGGTTTACTTTGTAATTGGTATTGTAGGGGAACTTCAAGAATCTGGAGGCCATACTACGAAAGAATTTTTTAAGTAACTATTAAGACTATTAAATTATAGATAAGGGAGATAGACTACAACTGACTTTTTTTATTGTGATAAAATATACATAACAAAGTTTACCATCTCAACTATTTTCAAGTGTACAGCTCTGTGGCATTAAGTACATTCACATTGTTGTACAACCATAACCACCATCCATCTCCAGAACTTTTTCATCTTCCTAAACTGAAATTCCATCTCCATTAAACACTAACTCCTCATCCCCTTTTCCCAGCCCCTGGTAACCATCATTCTTCTGTCTCTATGAATTTAACTACTCAAGTACCTAATATAGTGGAACCATACAATATTTGTCCTTTTGTGACTGGTTTATTTTACTTAGCATAATGTCCCCAAGGTCCATCCATATTTTACAATGTGTCAGAATTTCCTTCCTTTTTAAGGATGAATAATATTCCACTGTGTGTTTATATCACATTCTGTTTATCCATTCATCTGTCCATGCATACTTGGGTTGCATCCACCTTTTGGTTTTGGTGAATAACGCTGCCATGAACATTGGTATAGAAATACCTGTTCAAGTCCCTGCTTTCAATTATTTTGAAACTGAAGTAAAATTTACTGGATCAAACGGTAATTTTATGTTTAATTTTTGTAGGAACCATCATACTGTTTTCCAAAGTGGCTACACCATTGTATATTCCTGCCAGCAGTGCACAAGGGTTCCAATTTCTTCAGATTCTTGTCAACACTTATTATTTTCTGTTTTTTGACAATAGCCATCCTAATGGGTGTGAAGTGGTATCTCATTGTGGTTTTGAAGTATGCTCCCCTAAGATTAGTGATGTGGAGCATCTTTTCATGTGCTGATCAGTCATTTGTAAATCCTCTCTGGAGAAGTATCTATTCAAGTACTTTGCCCATTTTTTAAACTTTAATTTTTAAAATTAAAAAAAAAAATTTTTCTGGTTGTTGCTGTTGAGTTGTAGTAATTCTCTATATATTCTGGATACTAATCTCTTATCAGATGTATGATTTGCCTATATTTTCTCCTATTCTGTATGTTGTCTTTTCACTCTCGATAGTGTTCTTTGGTATACAAAAGTTTTTAATTTTGATGAAATCCAATTTATCAATTTTTTTGTTGTCTGTGCTTCTGGCATCATATCCAAGAAGTCACTGCCAAATCCAATGTCATGAAGCTTTTCCCCTATATTTTATTCTAAGAGTTTTATAATTTCAGCTCTTAGGTTAAGGTTTTTGATTCATTTTTAGTTAGTTTTTGTATATGGTATTAGATGAAGGTCCAACTTCATTCTTTTGCTTGTGGATACCCAGTTTTCCTAGCATCATTTGTTGAATAAAGTGTCCTTCCCCATTTACTGTCTTAGCACCCTTACTGAAAGTCATTTGACTGTATATGTGAGGATTTATTTCTTGGCTCTTACTCTATTCCACTGGTCTATGTCTCTCTTTATGTCAGACCACACTGTTCTGATTACTGCAGCTTTGTAGCACGTTTTATAATCAGGAAGTATGAGACCTACACTTGACTTTTAAAAGCTAGAAGTCAAACTCGTTCAATAAAAAATGGGAAAGAATCCCAGACTACCACAGAATCCTGGGGCTACAGCAATCTTTTAAAAAATTCCCTGTAATGGGCCCAGGTCTTTATAATCTTGCTCAGTGGAATCACAGCTTGTGTTCTTGTTGATTTATGGTGCTCTACAATGATGTTTTTATAAAATTCATTGGGGGTCCTTTGGGTGCAGTAGGATAAACCAGTCTTAGGGCATCTGAGGCATTGGAAGTGTATGGAAAAAAGGCACTACACTGAAGGCAAGAAAACTGGGTTCTATACCCAGTCCCATGGCTAAATCAGAGTGTAAAGCCTGGACAAGACTGTTAATTGCTCTGGGTGTAACATTAAAATGGAAATACTACTATCTGTCCTCTGTGACTTACCAGATTGCAGTAAGAATAACAATTTGCTTTCTAATGAAAGACAGCAATCTGTATCAAGCAATTTAATACTGGAAAAGGAGTAACACCAGGAGTTTGCTGCCAAGATTGTCAGTCTCACTGACAAATGTGAAAAGAGTTTTAAATATAATTGTCCTGCCTGCTCAGGTAGATGACACAAATATGTTTCAAGCCAGGAGACAATATATGACAGCAGTTAGAAACACAGGCTTTGGGGTCTGACAGAAATGGATATGAGTGCTGGTTACACTACTTACTAGCTATGTGCCTTCATCTGATATGATAGTTAACCTCTCAAGTTCAAGTGTCCTTATGGATAAGATGGAGAAATACCATAGTTTAGCTCACTGAATTGTTGTGATGATTAAATGACATTGCGTAATTGCTCCTGGTTCACAGTAGATGTTAAGAAAGCCTTATTTAGTAATATAGTGATAGGAGACACTGAACTCTGAAACTTTAAGACAGTAGGTATCTTTCCACATAAGACGATGTGTTTTGCATACGTAATAATTTAAACTGCACTTACCCTATCTCCAGGTCGCACCATAGGCTCTTGCTTTGTACCTAATTTATGCAGAATGTTGTAAGCAACCTTCATACTTCTTGTCCACAGTTTGCCTAACAATACAAATTATAAAGACACAAGTAATTGGACATATGCATTTTCAGTTATGTATATATGTGCACACAAAACTACAGAGACAGTATTTACTTTTTCATTTTAAGCCTTCAAGTTATTCTGAGTCCCTGGAATCAAGATGAGAAAAGCCAGCAACCCTGACTCATAAAATCTGAGAAGCCTGAACACTGAAATAAGGTACTAATACCAATACTCTTAGTATGCAAAGTACCTACAGCAAAGCCATAGAAGGTTTTAACTATCATCACAGAAGTTGTGGGGGAAGATTTCTAGGGAGTGCAGCAAGGGACCACAGCAATAGTGCATTACTGCTGATTTGTGTTGCAGACATCCTGCAATACGACTCTATGAACAGGTCTTTCTGCATGACTGTCATACGACTCTATGAACAGGTCTTTCTGCGTGACTGTCATACGACTCTATGAACAGGTCTTTCTGCTTGACTGTCATACGACTCTATGAACAGGTCTTTCTGCGTGACTGTCATACGACTCTATGAACAGGTCTTTCTGTGTGACTGTCATGGACACAAAGAGCTCAGACAGTCTCTACAGGGCCTGGTCCTTCTCCCTCTCCAAGTCCTAAGTTTCTCAACTTAAAATTTTCCTAACCTCAGGGTTTTAGGGTTTTGGAGAGGAATCCTTGAACTTACATAAAGATTATGGTAAAATTTTGAATTATTTTAAAGTTTAAAAGGCCAGAAAAAATGATCAAAAACAGGATTAAAAAAGCCCAAAACACTTTAGAAAAAAATGACCAGCTTTGAAGAGCTTGCAGATTTCAAGTCCCAGCCTCCATCCCAGGGCCAAACATTTCCTCAGCATTACCCAGGCAACAGTAAATAGTCTGAGATGGAATAAAAACGACTGTTAAATCTAATATGAGTTCTTGGGCAAATAAAGGGCCTCTTACAACTTCATCTTCTATGAGCTCTCAGAGTGGTCAAGATGTTAGAAGTTATATTAATATAACAGTAGTATAATAAAGTTGAGCAATTTTAACTGTTTCCCATAAGTGTAATCACTGTTTTAATCATTTTTGTATTTTAAATGTAAAAGCTAAATTAAAAAATTTTTTGTTTACAACACATATTTTGAATGAAAAAAATCTGAATTTGTTTTATTTTATATTGGACTTTGCAGTAACCCAAATTAGGGTCACTACTGTTTACCCACCACAGGGTTTATCAATTTATCTCCCTCTTAGTGATTAGGGGACGAAGACAATGTTTTTGTTATCTGTGATTCCTCTAATTCCTAGGACAGTATGCAGTTTAGCATACTTCTTGAGCATTTAGAGTAATTACTAGGTATGAAATTTTATTCATGCTCACTCCTCCTCAAGACTGGCTCCCTTACAATTATTTGGTATTTTATTTGATGATTACATCCCCCCCCCCCCAAAAAAAATAGTCAGTAGCCATTAGAAATAACTCAGTGAGTAAATTTTTTTCCTAAAAAAAGAAAAAATACAGGGGCTGGCCCCGTGGCCAAGTGGTTAAGTTCGCACACTCCACTGCAGGCAGCCCGGTGTTTCGTTGGTTCGAATCCTGGGTGCGGACATGGCACTGCTCATCAAACCACGCTGAGGCAGCGTCTCACATGCCGCAACTAGAAGGACCCACAACAGAGAATATACAACTATGTACCAGGGGGCTTTGGGGAGAAAAAGGAAAAAAATAAAAAAAGAAAAAAAAAGAAAAAATACAAATATGTTGTGCCTTTAGATCTTTTTAACGTGAATATTAGGGAATTATTATAGTTGAATAAACAATTACAATCAGTTTATCGTAATTGAAAAAAATCAATGTGTTGTAAATAGACAAATCAATTACAATAAAAATTAGCACCATTATATTTTTTTAAAGTTTCAACTTCATTTTCACCTTGGAATATTAAAGTTGATATCACCATAAATTCATATAAAAGTCAGCTTACAATAGAGTGTTTGAAAAGGGCAACACATTTTGGGCAAAATTCCAGAATTATACTTGATATTTTTCAAAGAGAAAAAGAAAGAATAGGTTGCTGATTTAAACTAAAGGAGATACAATAGTTCTTGACCAGTTTATAGAGGAGGAAGAAAAAAACTTCCCAACAAGAATACTCTACCCAGCAAAGACACCATTCAAAATTGAAGGAAAGAAAAAGTTTTCCAGACAAGCAAATCTAAACTGGCCTTACAAGAAATGCTAAACAGATTTCTTTAAGCTGAAAAGAAAGAGTACTAATTATTAACAGGAAAACATAAGAAAGTATAAATCTCACTGGTAACAGCAAATATATAGTAAAGGTACTAGGTCAATCACTTGTAAAGCTAGTATGAAGGTTAAAAGACAAAAGTAGTAAAAATAATTCTAACTACAATAATTAGTTAAGGGATACACAAGATAAAAAGATGTAAAATGTAACACCAAAAGCATGCCCCAGGTTTCTTTTGGGGTAGCTATACTTAGACAAAATTGACTTTAAAACAAAGAATGCAATAAGAGACAAAGAAGGGCCTTATCTAATGATAAAGAGATCAATTCAACAAGAGGATATAACATTTGTAAATATTTATGCACCCAACAAGGGAGCACCTAAATATATAATGCGAATATTAACAGACCTAAAAGGAGAAATAGGAAGCAATACAATATAAGCAGGGGAATTTAATAGCCCACCTACATCAATGGATAGATTTTCCCTACAGAAAATCAATAAGGAAATATCAGTCTTAAATGACACATTAGAATAGATGGACTTAAGATACATACAGAACATTCTATCCAAAAGCAATAAAATACACATTCTTCTCAAGTGCACAAGAGACATTCTCCAGGATGTCCTGGAGAATTAGGCCACAAAACAAGTCTTTACAAATTTAAGAAGACTGAAATCATATCAAGCATTTTTTCTGACCACAATGCTACGAAACTATAAATTAATTACAATAAGTAAACTGGAAAATTCACAAATATACACAGACTAAACAACATGCTACTGAACAACCAATGGGTCAATTAAAAATCAAAAGAGACGTAAAAAACATATCTTGAGACAAATGAAAATGGAACTACAAAATACCAAAATGTATGGGATGCAGCAAAAGCAGTTCTAAGAGGGAAGTTCATAGCAATAAACGCCTATCTCAAGAAACAAGAAAAATCTCAAATGAACAACCTAACTTTACACCTCAAGGAAGTAGTAAAAGAATAAATGAGGACCAAAGTTAGTAGAAGGAAAGAAATAATAAAGATCAGAGCAGAAATAAATGAAATAGAGACTAAAAAGACAATAGAAATGATCAATGAAACCAAGAGCTGGTTCTTCAAAAAGATAAACAGAATTGACAAACCTTTAGCTAACTCACCAAGAAAAAAAGAGAGAAGGATCAAATAAAATCAGAAATGAAAGAGACATTACAACTGATCACAGAAATACAAAAGATCATAAGAGACTACTATGAAAAATTTACACCAACAAATTGGACAACCTATAAGAAATGGAGAAATTCCTAGAAACATACAACCTTCCAAAACCGAATCATGAAAAAAAATCTAAATAGGCCAATTACTAGTAAGGAGATTGAATCAGTAATTTAAAATCTCCCAACAAAAAAAAGTCTGGGACCAAAATGGCTTCACTGGTGAATTGTACCAAACATTCAAAGAAGAATTAATACCAATCCTTCTCAAACTCTTCCAAAAAACAGAAGAGGAAGCAACATTTCCAAACTCATTTTACAAGGACAGCATTATCCTGATACCAAAAACAGACAAGGGCACCATAAGATAAGAAAATTACAGGCCAAATCCCTGATGAACATAGATGTAAAAATCTTTAAAAAAATATTAGTAAACTGAATTCAATACATTAAAAGAATCATACACCATGATCAAGTAGGATTTATCCTAGAGATGCAAGAGTGGTTCAACATCTGCCAATCAATCAATGCGATACACCCCATTAACAAAATGAAGGGTAAAACTCATATGATCATCTCAATAGATGCAGATAAAGCATTTGACAAAATTTAACATCCATTTATGATTAAAAAACTCAACAAAGTGAGTACAGAGGGAATGTACCTCAACATAATAAAGGCCATACATGACAGACTCACAGCTGTCATCATACTCAATGGTGAAAAGCTGAAAGCTTTTCCTTTAAGATCAGAAACAAGACAACAATGCCCACTCTTGCTACTATAATTCAACATAGTTTTGGAAGTCCTAGCCACAGCGATTAGGCAAGAAAAGGAAATAAAAGGCATCCAAATCAGAAAGAAAAAAGTAAAACTGTCACTATTTGTAGATGACATGATACCATACATAGAAAACCCTAAGGACTCTACCAAAAAACTGTTAGAACTAATAAATGAGTTCAGTAAAGTTTCAGGGTATAAAATTAATACACAGAAATTTGTTGCATTTCTATACACTAATATTGAACTAACAGAAAGAGAAATTAAGAAAACAATTCCATTTACAACTGCGTTATAAAGAATAAAATACCTAAGAATAAATTTAACCAAAGAGGTGAAAGACCTCTACACTGAAAAATATAAGACATTGATGAAAGAAATTGAAGGTGACACAAACAAATGGAAAGACATTCCGTGCTCAGGAATTGAAAGAATTAATATTGTTAAAATGTCCCTATTACCCAAATCCATCCACAGATTCAATGCAATCCCTACCAAAATTCCACTGGCATTTTTCACAGAAATAGAACAAATGGTCCTAAAATTTATATGGAACCACAAAGACTGTGAATAGCCAAAGTGATCTTGAGAAAGAAAAACAAAGCTGGAGGCATCATATATCCTCATTTCAAACTATATAACAAAGCTATAGTAATACAAATAGCATGGTATTGGCATAAAAACAGACACATAAATTAATGGAGCAGAATAGAGAGCCCAGAAATAAACCCACGCATATACAGTCAATTATCTTATGACAAAGGAGCCAAGAATACACAATGGGGAAAGGGCAGTCTCGTCAATAAATGGTGCTGGGAAAACTGGACAGCCACATGAAGAATAACAATGCACACTACCTTACACCATACACAAAAATTAACTCAAAATGGATTAAAGACTTGAATGTAACACCTGAAACCATAAAACTTCTAGAAGAAAATATAGGCCAGAAGCTCTTTGACATAGATCTTAGCAATGACTTTTGGAATTTGACACCAAAAGCAAAAGCAACAAAAGAAAAAATAAACAAGTGGGACTACATCAAACTAAAAATCTTCTGCACAGCAAAGGAAACCATCAACAAAATGAAATGGCAACCTACTGAATGGGAGAAAATATTTGCAAATCATCTATCTGATAAGGGCTTAATATCCAAAATATATAAAGAACTCATACGACTCAACAGCAAAAACCCAAACAATCCAATTAAATAATGGGCAGATCCGAATAAACATTTTTCCAAAGACATATGGATGGCCAATAGGTATATGAAAAGATGCTCAACATCACTAATCATCAGGGAAATTCAAATCAAAACCATAGAGAGATTGCCTCACACTTGTTAGAATGGCTATTATCAGAAAGACAAGAAATAAAATGCTGGTGAGGATGCGGAGAAAAGGGGACCCTTGTGCACTGCTGGTGGGAATGCAAATTGGTGCAGCCACTATGGAAAACAGTATGGAGGGTCTTCAAAAATTTAAGAATAGAACTGGCATATGATCCAGCAATTCTACTTCTGGGTATTTATCTGAATAAAAGGAAAACACTAACTCAAAAAAATATATGTATACTGCAACATTATTTACAATAGCCAAGATATGGAAACAACCTAAACGTCCATTGACGGACAAATGGATAAAGAAAATGTGGTGTATATATACATATACAATGGAACACTATTCAGCCATAAAAAAGAACGAAATCTTGCCATCTGTGACAACATGGATGGACGTTGAGGGCATTATGCTAAGTGAAACAAGTCAGACAAAGAAAGACAAATTCCATATGATCTTACTTATATGTGGAATCTAAATAAAACCCCAAAACCAAGCTCACAGATAGAGAAGAGACTGGTGGTTGCCAGAGGCGGGGGTGGTGAGTGGGTGAAAGAGGTGAAGGGCTCAAAAGGTACAAATTCCTAGTTATAAAATAAGACATGGGGATGTAACGTACAGCATGGCAACTATAGTTAATAATAGTTAAAAAGACTGTATTGCATATTTGACATGAAATTCCCCCAGATTTAAGGCAAGTTAAACAGACAGTTTAACTGGGAAAACAGATATTTAGACTCTGAATCAGCCATGTGCATGTAGAAGGAAAAAAGGTGTATAAATGATGTAAGTACTACCTTATTACATATTAATTTTAATTTTACTTGGATTTGAGTGAGGAATAAGCAACTTGTACAGAGTGTAACTCTGAGGAGGGAGGGAAGCAGGTGGGTAAGAAGGGCTATCAGAGCTCACTAAAAAAAGAAGAAAAAGATGAGCATTTGCTTCGTAGAAAAAGCACACTGCAACAAGGCAAAATGAACTTTCAGATAATCTCACTAAGACAGGGAGGGAGGGGAGGAGGAAGAGACTGAGGTTTCCGCAAGTAAGACATGACAGAAGGAAATTAGCTGCATAGCATGATTTATTTTTATTAATTTAAGGTTATGAAATGCCATGGGTTCTCTTCAGTATACTTTTTTATTTGTATTGGTAAATGGAAAACCACCTTTTTTTCTAAGTTTGTTCACAACTTTCATTTGCCATCTGTACTTCCTATTAAAGATCCCAAATTTCTCAGCTGGGAAATTCTCCTACCTTAGCGCTTTGCAGGAAGCTGAATTTTAGAGTTGAAGGTATACTACAATACCGTAATAGTCTAGTACTTCAATTATACCAAGTTGTTTGGTATTACAACAATTCTCATTCAATGAACTTTTCTCTGCATCTTCTTAGCAACATGTTCACCTATTTTAGTGTTTCTACATAGAACGCACTTTTCTATAGTTTTCATCGCATTAGCCAACATTTTGATTTTGCATCCTGATAAGTTGTAATCCTTCATTTGGAAATGTACTACTTTTTTCTATTCCTTTAATAAGTAAAAACCAAGCTTGACCCATAGCATATACCAACTAGAGATGACTAAAATGCAACAGAATACAGATGATTTAAAAGCAGGAGTTGAGATGCATTGGTGCAGACATGTGCGTTCTACATTTTCATAGATAACATTTGGTCTGTATCTTACACGTCAAATTCACCTTAACCTTGCAAGAAGGGAAAGTCAGCACTACTCTGTCCTGCGTTCCAACAGCAGAAGGGGGGCTGTACTTCCAATCTAGATCAGCAGCCCCTGAGAACCGTGACTCACTCTTCTCTGATTGCCCAAGCCTCAGCAACGAGCCAGTGCACAGTCGGTGCTTCAGACACCAGAACAAATGCTTGTTGGCTGACAGACGAGTGCTTCGCTCACCTGTGCATGCAGGTGGGTCCTAGAATTCCCTGCATGTGGGCATGTAAGCCCTGGAAGAATTAGCTTAGGAACAGCAGTTCCAAGTACACAATCAGCTCCATGGCTGAATCTGGCAAGAGATGAAGGTCACACAGGAAAGTCTCTATCTTTTTGACTGAATACAACCTATTTCCAAGAGCATAATTTTTTAAAAAATTCAAGTTTATGCCTTATCTTAGGTGAAATACTCTTTATCCACTTAGAATTACCCAACGAAGGCATAAAAACAACGAGGCTATAAATCATATGCTCCTAAACTCAAATCCCATTTCTGTCCATGAGATGCATAGAATAACTGAGTCTATGGCTGGTGCCTCCTGGGGCCCCACATCCCCATAGGGCTAGACTCTACATTATTTAACACAACATCTGGCCTTTGACCTCGATTGCTAATGTAGAAACCAATTTCTTTCCTACCTGCATTCAGAGGAGAGTTATTGGCATAAAATGCAAAACTGAAAGGAAAAAAAGGTAATCTAACCACACATGTCCAGATATAATATGAGCCATTCTGGTCTTTTAGTTATTAAGCTGGTTTCTTCGCAAAGCTGCAGCAGATAGTATGAAAATAACCGACAATCTGGTTTCTCCACAGCCCCTTACCCATGGAACAAAGAGAGAGGAATCCCTCTGGTACAGTTAACTATTTCCAAAAGTTTACAGACTGCATTAACTGTACTGAATGAAGAATTAGAGAAAAGCTTGTTTCTCTTACTTTCTGAAAAAGCACTTTGGAAACAGACTTTGTTTCTTCTGAGTGATATATGTCAAAGAGTTTGGATATACATTCTTTAACTACCAATCTTTCCTGAAAGCAACAAGAGTATCAGACATACATTCCAAGAGGTAAAATCCAACATCTTATTAGAGTTATGATCACTAATTTTGGTATCCATTTCTGGACTTTACTCAAAAAACATTAATAACTTTTCATATTCAAAACAAATAATTTTCCTAAAATATTTCTTTTCAGATTCTAGTTATTTCCATACCCAAAACATAAGGCAGCACAAGTATAAATCAGCCACCCTGAAAGGGGCAGTGCGTGCGTAAGCAAATGAAAGGCGAGTACCCTTCTAGGATTACCATAAGTGAGGATGTACAGGGGCTTCCCGTTCGTGTCCATTGTGGTCAAGCATGGGGCCTTTGGGGAGATGGTCCCCCATCTCTGTAACGCGGCTTCTAGAGACGGCGGCCAGTTCGTAACCACACCCAGCTGCTCCCCTCGCATTGCCAACATCTGGGCTCCCTCTGGCTTTGGCTGGTTTGGATCTGGTTGTTGAACTAAGTACATTTGAATACAAAAGTTTTCAAGAAAAATACATCCATGTTAGTACGATCACTTTTTTCTTCTTATAGAAGCCAGGAGACTTAGACTTAAGGTATAAATTTATTAACAGACAGAAAACATGCACACACGCTCTTCTGGAATCAGGGCCATGACCTACATACTGGCCTCATGGATGGAATGGAAGCACTGAATTCTTATAATTTCCAAGGCAGTAATAGGGATGGGTAACTTAGGGCGACCTGAGTGCATTATAAACTGAGGACAAGTAAAACCATATATTTTAACACACCTAGAGTCTTTGTTTAAAATATCAATTACTGACATACACTAGCAATTCCAGATTCCAAAGAGCTCGAATCTTGCTAAATTATATTTTGCCCTTAAATAGTGAGATGCAAATTTAAATTTGCTACAACTACTATGAATAACTAGCACAGAGCCTATTTCCTTGAGTAAAACAAAAGAAAAACAAATGCCTCATAATAAAATACAATTTACCCAACTCTTTAGAAATGTTTCTCTCTCATAGTTGACAATTTCTACCTCCTGGCCAGAAAATCAGCTATATCTTACTTGTGGTATAAAGAACAGAAATAAAGAGTTTGGGTTTGACACAATAAGCAGTATTTTTTTTTTAGGTACTTTGTGTTAAAAGGCTCACAAGCATTCAGAGGATAAGACACTGTGCCTGAATTTGTAGAGAGTGGAGGAAAACGAGGCCTTCTCTGCGTTCCTCTCAACAAGCTTATGCAGAGAGCAATGCCTCACCATGAGCTAAGGTTTTCTATAATTTACTTGCATTTCTGAAACTTGATGGAGCCCTTAGAAAGAGGCCTGGCTCATGGGACAAAATCCAAAATCATATTCTGCTGAGGACGATAAACAAATAATCAGTTTGGAAATCTATCCAACCACGCAGTGCTCAGCGCACCTTTAAGGACCTTGGGGAGCAGTAACTACAGTCTCTAGATAAGACTCCTGTCTTCCACTGAACGCGGAGAGATTACTGCTCTTAAGAAGTAAAATACCTTTGTAGAAAAAATATCATTGTAGTTTATGGTACCATAGGGACAATGAAACAAATGGGGATGGGAAAGGGTTCTTTTACCTTCTAACAATTCTTCAAAGTCATCAACAAAGAACTCCCTTAATGGCGGTCGTTTAGGTCGTTTGAGGGTGTTGACGAGCTGCTGAATTTTTGCTGATACCCGGCTACTTACTGGCACTCCTGAAAAACAGAAGCACAGATGAGCTGATTGCAGGACATCACAGCTGAATGAGCAGCCACATAACACGGCTGTGATGCTCTGGCTCCATTGTGAGGGCTGTGAGAAGCAGGCGAATGCGCTTGAGACTGAGTATCCCTCAAAGTGTCACCTGAGACGATGTGCAGAGTGAAGATATTCCACTGGGTGGACTACCACAGTGCAGGGACCCTGCAGGGAACCACAGGAGGGTAAAGAAGCGGCAGAAATCATTCTCCTTCACTTCACGAGTCCTCCTGGTTTGGTGATGTCGGGAAGACTCTGGACCACAGAGAAGGCTTGGTCCCATCTCTAATTCCTAAAACAGTCACACTGTCTCAGGTTCTCCACTCTCAACAGGAGTCAGAGAGCTGACAAAGCAGTGAGACCCTCCCTGAGTCCCAGAGACCACTGGTGCTTGGCCTTGCAGGGGCCAAAACAACATTCTGCTGGAGAAGTGAATTTGGCTGCTCTGTAGCGTCTGGGCTCTAGGTGATTGTCTGGCGCTGCCGCCCCGCACTTCCTGACGAAAGCAAGCAGGACTCAGGTTCTACAAGCTCTGTGGCAGGCCCTGCCCTCTCACAGGGGACCACCGGTCCTTCCTACCTGTCTTTGAGTAAACTCTCAGGCAATGCAATCTAGAAGCACAGCAATTTCAAGTCTCTAAATTCATTTTTTCATATAACATAGAGTACTAGAATATACTTCACGTGTCGAGAAAAATAAATCCGATTTAATGATAATATATTTATTACTTACAACAATGAATGTGACAGCATTTTGAAAACTGATTAAGTTAACTGATCACTGAAAAAGGCATGAAGTTTTGATGCGGGATCGGTGAGCTGAGGAGTCGAAAGAAAGATTTCTTAGACTCTCAAGATGTGGCAGTAGTGCTCTTTTATTTAGAGAATAGTGTGGAATAGCATGGGGACAGGACCCATAGGCAGTCAGAGCTTCTGCTGCCGCCGCTTCTGCTGCCCCTGCTGGCATGGGGACAGGGCCCATGGGCAGGGAGAGCAGCTGCTGCTGCCCCCGCTGGCATGGGGACAGGACCCATGGGCAGGGAGAGCTGGTGCGTGGGGACAGGACCCACAGGCGGTCAGAGCTCCTGCTGCTGCCCCGAGTTGAGGGTTAGGGCTAATTTTATAAGGCATGGGTACGTGACTTATTTTTACTGGAGAAAAGAAAAGATGATGTAAAAAGTCATTAAATATTTCAGTGCGGATGGGGTCTGGTTATTGTGCGGTCATGTAACTATAGATACGAATCTGGCCATAGAGATCGGCATGTAGGTGAGGATGCCCTGGGCTTCTCTCCCTGGGGCAGTCCTAATTCATACCATAACAAAAGTCCACTGGGTCATATAGTTTGGCATGTAGGCCAGGTCACCTTGAGCTTCTCTAGCTGGGGCAGCCTTAATCCACATCAGTTTTATTTTTTTATTTTTTATTTTTTTGAGGTAGATTAGCCCTGAGCTAACTACTGCCAGTCCTCCTCTTTTTTGCTGAGGAAGCCTGGCCCTGAGCTAGCATCCGTGCCCATCTTCCTCTACTTTTTTTTAATATGTGGGACGCCAACCACAGCATGGCGTGCCAAGTCGTGCCATGTCCACACCTGGGATCTGAACCGGCAAACCCCAGGCCGCCAAGAAGTGGAACGTGCAAACTTAACAGCTGCGCCACGGGGCCAGCCCCAGGCATGAAGTTTTAAAATTTTAAAATAAATAGACCATGGGGCCTGCCTGGTGGCCTAATGGTTAAGTTCATGCGCTCTGCTTCAGCAGCCCAGGGTTTGCAGGTTTGGACCCCACGCGTAGACATAGCACCGCTCACAACCCATTCTGTGGCAGCATCCCACATAAAACAGGAAAAGATTGCCACAGATGTTAGCTCAGGGGTAATCTTCCTCATACACACACAAATAAAATAAATAAATAGCCCAAATTAATGAACAAAAGGAGTGCCAACATGCTGACATCCTTAACAGGATCAAATATATCCCCTGCAGGCAAACTTCATTGTCGCTGAAAGGAGCTCAGAACTGGCACCTGGTAACTATGGGTTTGGAAACTTTACAGCTCTCAGTCTGAAGAACTACGGCCTGGAGGCAGGTCTTTCCCATAATGGCTGAGGCAGAGTCCTCCTTTTCCATTGTGTGGTATCACAAAAACAGACCTCGGCTTTTGGAATGACAGAATTCAAGGAAATTTTTCTATCAAATAAAAAAACATTTTAGTAGGTAGTTTTACAATAGTCTATAAGCACTTTCAGAATTGAGATATTAAATATTTTAAAGTTTTGAAAACATGTAAAAATATACAACCGAGAATTCAGAATATCTTAACATAGTATTTCCCCATCAAATAGTTCCACTTAATTTAGTTCAGATGGAGATCATTCCACAGGATTACTGGTTCTCCAGCTTAGTTTAGAACCTATAAGAATCATCCTAGGACCCAGATCAGAGCTTCTGATGTGTGAGGTCAGGGGTGCAGCCCAGGTGGTTCTGATATGAGAGGTTATCACACACTGAGAAACACTGGCCTGGACAACACGTGACTCATATGGAGTCATATGGACAACATACTTACTTAACTGGGGGAGTAGGAGAAGACGATGGACTTCAAAGACAATAAAGTTATTAAAACTGGAGTGACCTCAAATGTACCAATGGAGAGCTCATGAAACCCGGTGACTTTGGGCTCTGACCATAATGAAGTGCATGCTGCCTGTTAGAGGCTGGGTCTAGGTCTTCCTCACTGCCTCCAAATCACACGGTACAATGGGACATGAGCACAGTGGGATGGATGGCACACCAAAGCTACTCTGGCTATCTTCAACGAAAATAACATTTTATATCATCATCGGGTTCTATTCTAACTTTCATGACCCAACGAAGGACTGAGACTTAAAGACAGCAGAATAAAGCATGAAGTTCATGTTCAAGTCTGCTACTTCAGATTGGGTAACAGAAATGGCCACCGTAATCAGAACATACCAAGATGGGAGATATGAGGAATAAAAGATAACCCCCTACTGCTGTATTTTTTCAAATCGCTAATACTTTTTCCAATATGGAGGAAAAAAAAGACCCTCTTTCTTCCAAAGTCTAAAGCACCACACTAGCCCATATCTGTCAATTATTTTGTTTTACATTGAACTTCGTCTTGCCCTTCTAAATAATCACTGATGGTCTAAACACTTGACACTAATTTCTTAACTGCTGAACCAACACTCATTATTCATTAGTAAAAACACAAGTCTTATAAAATTTCTTTTTCTTCTCATGACTAAATTCCTACAACGTGACATTTTTTCCTACAAGGAGTAACTCTTGGCCAACTTGGAGATAATTTGCAATTCTTGTGACTATACCACCTTCTGTGGGTGGCTCCTGAAGAACATGATATATGAGATTCAATGAGCTGACTGTGCATCTAGAAGAAACACATCCCATCATGGGCACAGAAAGGCAAGTTAGTAGAAATTAGAATTTACAAAGAAGGAAAGAAGTTGCTGAAGACATACCATCACCAGTCTCCATGAGCTCAGCATTGCCATACTTGGGTGCTGTCCGTGACGTCGTTGAGCCTTGCGGCCTTTCTACTTGTATTGAGTGTTCTGAGGTGTAAGTGGTTACATCAGGAGGTGCAGAGTGATTTTCTGTAAAGAAGCCAATTACAAGTTTTCTGGTTATCATGACAGTTATTCTGAAGGCTAAGTAACCAATGGGGTTTCAAAAACTGCACATCCTAAGAAGAGACCATGACCCTGAATCCAAGTCTACTACAGAAATCTCAGCATAAAGATGGTCTTTAAGATACTTTATACAGCTCAAAAAGGAACAAAGGTAGATAAAACTTCAGACGTAATATCATAACAGGAGCCACATTGATGAAGCACTGTGACATTTTAACTAAAGTAATTTTCAAGCAGCCAATGGAAAAAGAGATATTGTAAGTTATGTGTCTGTTCATATCAGAGTAATTTTCCTGTCTGTCATAGGAAAGGCAGTTAAGAGCTCAAGCTTTGGAGGCAGAGAGCCTGGGGTTTGAATCTCAGCTCTGCAAATTCCTCAAGTCTTGGGAAGTGTCTTAACCTCTTTGTGCCTCAGGCTCCTCATCTATCAAATGGGAATAATAATGGCTACCTCCTTGTAGGGTAGGTTAAATGAATTAACATGTATAAAGTTCTTGGGACATTTTTTGATAGAGGGTGAGCATTCAAGAAGTATTAGTATATTATTTGTTTTAGCATGAATAATACTGAACAGTCATTCAAAATACATCTGTTTACAATCTAGTGTGTACCGGGTGCCATGTCATGCACAGTGAGACCTGCAGCAGTCCTTGCCCACGGCTTTCATTAATGATACAGTTAAGCACTTAAATGGTTACATGGGAAAACACAACTTCTGCATTTATTAAATAAGGCATTAAGGACAGCATGTCAAATGAAAGCATCAATGACATTTTATACATCCTAAGTTCTGATAAGGGTTTTATACTATTAACTTTGATTCGTTAATCCTTATTAGATAGAAACTTGTCAAGATCCTATAGTTCCATGTGACACAAGCACATTACTTTGTGCTGTTGAAAGGAGAGCAGGTTCCGGAAGGCCTCTCTCCTCCAGATGCTGCTGACTTCAGCACTACACATGGGGCCGTCTTAAACACTGAAATCACCAACAAAAGCACAAGAATGAGGAAAAACAGGACACCGAGCAGATTACATAAGGGACACTGTTTACAGCCTGAGCTGGAGCACAAAGGCTGAGCGCAGCCCTGTTCCACCTCAGCTGGGAACGTGAGAATGTCCTCACGTGACTGTGAGAAGGTCATAGGACTGATTTGAGGTTACAAGTTATTTTAACAAGTAGGTGGATTCACAAGCACGGAATCAGCCAATTGTGAGGCTTGACTGCATACAGAGGTTTATGTGTGAGTGCATATGTGTGTACACAGTACGTATACAGAAGAGCTTGCACAGATTAAGGGACACTACAAGAAATGAGACTTGCAGCTGAGGAAGATTAACCTGTATTCTGGGAAAGTTTCAAGTGTAGCAACCCAGGGTGACCACTCACCCCAATGTGCCCAGACTCTCGGGAGACCTTTGGTCCAGGCACACTGATTCAGCACGTGTGTGGAAACGTACGTGGGGAGCGGGGGTTGAGGGCTGGGGCCACCAACAGTCCCCAATTTGGTTCCCAGGTCCACTGCTCATTGTTGATCACCTGGGACCAGTGACGGACCTTTCCAAGCTTTAGTCTCCTTCTCTGTAAAATGGAGGTGATAATGACAATACTGACCTTGTAAGGTTATAGTGGGAATTAAGTCGATAAATACACACAAGCATTCAAGCACTGTTATTGTTAGGTGCACAGACATGTGCTGAAGGGAGGTTTTAGATGCCAGCGTGCTGTGAGATAAACACTGGCACGAGTGGCAGCCCCAATAAGCCACTATTCATCCAGGGTCTGAACCCTTGGAATCTCTGTAAAGCGTGATAAGTGGTACCAAAGCCCTAAACACAGGCCATCAGCAGAGAGCTGAGTGCCCCATTTCTTGTCTCCCTTTCCAAGAGTATTCACCCTGTTGTGGACTGAACTGTGTCTCATCAAAATTCACATGCTGGGGCCCTAACCCCCAGGACCTCAGAATGTGACTGTTTGGAGAAGGGCCTTTAAAGAGGTGATTAAGGTAAAATGAAATCATTGGGTGGGCCAAATCCAATAGGACTGGTTCCTTATGGGAGGAGGACATTAGGACACCGACACACACAGAAGGATGGTCATGTGAGGACACAGGAGAAGATGTCTGTCTACATGCTGAGGAGAGAGGCCTCAGGAGGAACCAGCCCTGCCCACACCTGGCTCTCAGATTCCAGCCTCCAGGACTGAGGGGCAACGAACGCCTATTGTTTAAGCCCCCAGCCTGTGGTATTTTGTACTGGCAGCCCAGCAAACTACAATATATCCTTAAGCGCAGCTTCTTGGATCTTAGCCCAGAAAAGGGGGGCCTGTGAGAGGGAGGTGAGCAAGGTCACGATGCTTTATCAGGTCATGGAGGGGAAGGTTGAGAGGGAGGGAAAGGATCGCTCCAAGGGCCTCTTTAATGTTTCAGACACCGTGTTCATCGTTTTCACCACCTCCACCTGTGCTTTGGCCAAATAGACTATTTCATGTTTCAAAATGATCTAATTCTTCATGGCTAAGTAGTACTTACTGGGGCCTCATACTTCAGATGAAAATACAACAGACACTAATGTATGATGAGCAAGTTTTCAAATTAGCCACCTAAAACAAAAGCAGCTAAAATGTGAGTTCACTGCATTCTGATTCTATTCAGATTTACTTGTGTTTAAGTTACCCTATAGCCACATCACTGGTGAAAGCCAATCAATCTTTGTGTTGGGTGGCAGGAATACTGCAATGTTTCCACTTTGAAGTAGGGAAAAATAATGATTCCAATTCATCTGGTGGTTAAAAAAATAGGAAGAGTGACAGCTGGGTGAATTCAAAGTGTTTTCCAAATTTATTTACATGTCATCTCCCCTGCCACTCCCTTTCAAACTCCTTGAATATGCTGTCACTGTAGGTCACAAACCCAGAGGCTGGCTTCAGTTAGGGAGCCAGAGAATGTTCTGCTGCTATAGTGACGCACTGTTCCCCATTGTATTTTGATAAAGATCGGGCCTCCAGTATTTCATTAGGTTACCTATCTTTTGAGGACTATTTAAAAGAACATTGTACATAACAGATGCTCAAGACACACTTGTTGATGGGTAAGAAGTGGAGCCAAGTTGAAGGTGCAGGTTCAAAGGTCTGAAATGTTCATTGGCTCCAGGCATAAGGCCAATGAAGTCCATGTACATCAGGAGCATTCTGAAGATTAAGAACTCTTGTCAGAGCAGGTTTGTATCTCCTGAGCAAGATGGCCCACTATTCCTTGGATCAATTTCCCAGCACTTTTAAAATCAAAAGAAAAATGGCGGCCACGCTTCCAGGCACCTGTCAAGTGTCACCTCCACTGTGAGCCCCGGGACCTTCACATCTGCTCCCCACGGGGGGTTCTGTCTCATCTGCCCCTGCATCGCTTTCACTCTCCGCAGCCGACATGGGTTCCTTAAGAATCTGCAATTTGAGACAGGCGCAAGAGGAAAGGAGGAGGAAGTATAACTCAGCCATCGTTCGTGATGCACCTGCAATCTCTTTTGGCTCCATCAGCACCAGGGCTGCCATCTCACTTCCTGAATCTCCCCCCTCCCATTCTGGGGTTCGGTCTGTTACTCTTACCAACATCCACCCCATCTGAACAGCTGTTTCCAGGATGACCATTTCAGGATACCGGCTGGTCTCCCTGCTCAGCTCTGCCTTGAAAATTCCCTGCTTTCTTGACCTAACTCCTTCCTACTCACCTGCTCAATCTGGCTTCCTGTGTCCTACTCAGATGCTGACACTACATGGCACTCAGCCCATGCTGTCTACGCTCAGCAAATGTTGGAGGAATAGTTCAAAGAATGAATGAGCATAAGAATGAATAAATTAAAGAACACTTGACAATTCAGATAAAATGCCTCTGGTTCTAACACCAGCTGAAAAGAAGCATTCTTTAATTCTAACTGTCTCACTGGGAATCCCCAGGGGCCAGTGGTGATGGATCCTACTTTTACGCCATGTTAATTATTTTTCAGTCTCCAAATAACTTCTAAATGAAGAAAAGAAAAATAGGAAATCTGGTTTTCATGTGTAGAGAGCCATGTGCTCATGGTCCACTAACTGATGATGGGTAATGAATAATGCATTTAAAGGAACCCAATCTTCCACGTATCAAGAATGCTCCATCCCGAGCTTCCTATGGTCAACTCAACCACTACTGTCATTGAGCAGAAAGAAAGGAATGAGGTCCCTGTGATACAGACCCTCAGGCCACCTGTCTGTCAAGCTGCTCCAGCTTCCTAAGAGGACACAACTATGCCCTCCACATGGTGGGGGAAAACCAGGTTCCTCGATGAACATGTGGAGGTGAACAGAGCAAAAGTTCAACTGCACCAGACATAATCTCAATGAGCGAAGACACATGGCAAAAGGAATCTGCAATGACGTTGAGGGAAGGAGCCGGCCCTCGACCAAGTCAGAACATCCAGCTTTCCTGCTGGAGGCCTCAGCTTGATTGCTTACTGCATCCATCCTTCTTCCATATGCAGCTACTCAGAAGGAGAGACTTTCCTCTTTGGTTTCACCAGCAGTCTACTTTCACTGGCTTGATTGGAATGCACCTAACGGGAAAGCTGTAACTTGTGTCTCAACCAAAGGTGAGACATGACAATGTAAGTAAGGGTTTATCTTCTTATTCTTTTCATAATCACTCAGGGACAGAATAATATACTTTGTTTACCTGTCCTCTGCTGCAGATTAACTTTTCCTGTGTGTGTGAGTATGAGATACTGCTAATGGGGATTCATAGTTCCTTTTCAAATTTGCAGGCAAATAAATCACCCACAGACTAAACCTAGAGAAGGTGAGAAAAGGGCTCAGTGGTTCCATACTGAAACATTTCTCTTGGCAAAGTTTGAAGGGTCAGGTTGACTTTAGGGGGACTATACAGGTTCTCAGACTGGAACTGCCTCCCCCACACATTTATGCCATGAAAATCCCTA